TGTTGTACTCCTCTCTTTGTCACAGAGCCACCTTTGTTAAGAATCTTTTTTATATTGGCCACGGCTGTGCCTTCCATTATTTAGACATTTATGATGGTGACAGGTCTAAAGAAAAGGTGATTTAGCACTTTCTTGTCTCCCTTGTTACTCCCTAAGTGTAGGGTTGTAGGGCTGAGTAATCAGGATATGTACATGTAACTTTTTAGTTTGTCTTTTTATTATGATGGTGAGTGATTCCTAGCATTGCAGATGTAATTTATAAGATTGCTGTTGATGTTATTTATTAAATTGCAGTTGATGTTATTTAAAACTTTAATAGTGCTGTTGTAGTTTTATCATTTTAATGATACTAGATGTATACAATACTATAGTACTTTCAATAACCATTTTTACTATTTTTACAAGAAAGTGAGTAGATTACTTTAAAAGGGTGTTATTATTTAACCCTTTTGTCCCCTCTGATGCAGTGGCATCTTCGTGGTGTCATTAGTCTCCTTATTTTACTGAATCATTGTGTATACAAGACTTGGCAGGCAAAGCAGCGTATGGCATGGGTTGGGGGTGGCATATAATACTGTGTTTGTATTCAGGGGTGACATTCTGGCCCAAAGGCTGACGTTGCTGTTTACTTTTTGCATGTCAGGCAAGAGGATTTTCTCTTAATCTGTTCATCTTTCTTTTCTCTTTGCTCTCCCTGCTCTCCCTCCTTTTCCTCCTTCTTCCCTTCCTCCCTTCCTTTCCCTTTTTCTTCCTCCCTCTCCTCTCTCCTCTCCCTCCCTCCCTCCTCCCTCCCTCCCTCCCTCCTCCCTCCCTCCTCCATCCCTTTGCTCTCTCCTCCTCTCCTTCCCTCCCACTCTCCTCCTCCTCCCTCTCTCCCCTCTCTCCTCCTCTCCCTCCCTTCCCTCTCTCCTCTCTTCCTCCCTCCCCTCTCCTCCTCCTCCCTCCCTTCCTCTTCTCCCTCCTCTCCCTCCCTTCCCTCTCTCCTCCCTCCCTCCCCTCTCTCCTCCTCCTCCCTCCCCCCTCTCTCCTCCTCCTCCTCCTCCCCTCTCCTCCTCCTCCCTCCCTCCTCTCTCCTCCTCCTCCCCCTCCCTCCCTTCTCTCCTCCTCCTCCCCTCCCTCCCTTCTCTCCTCCTCCCTCCCTCCTCTTCCTCCTCCTCCTCCTCCCTCCCCTCTCCTCCTCCTCCCTCCCTCCCCTCTCTCTCCTCCTCCCCCTCCCCTCTCTCCTCCTCCTCCCTCCTCCCCTCTCTCCTCCTCCTTCCTCCCTCCCCTCTCTCCTCCTCCTTCCTCCCTCCCCTCTCTCCTCTCCTCCCTCCCTCCCCTCTCTCCTCCTCCTCCCTCCCTCCCCCTCTCTCCTCCTCCTCCCTCCCTCCCCTCTCTCCCACCTCCTCCTCTTTCCTTCCCTCTCTTCTCCTTTCCTCCCTCCCCTCTCTTCTCCCTCTCTCTTCCTCTCCCTCCCTCCCCTCTCTCTCTCTCCCCCCCTCCCCTCCTCCCCCTCCCTCCCCTCCCCTCTCCTCTCTCTTTCCCTCCCTGCTCTCCCCTCCCCTCCCCTCTCCTCTCTCTTTTCCCTCCCTGCTCTCTCCCTCCCCTCCCCTCCCTCTCTCTTTCCCTCCCTGCTCTCCCCTCCCTCCCTCCTCTCCTCTCCTCTCCTCTCCTCTCCTCTCCCTCCTCTCCTCTCCTCTCCTCTCCTCTCCTCTCCTCTCCTCTCCTCTTCCTCTCCTCTCCTCTCCTCTCCTCTCCTCTCCTCTCCTCTCCTCTCCTCTCCTCTCCTCTCTCTCCTCTCCTCTCCTCTCCTCTCCTCTCCTCTCCTCTCCTCTCCTCTCCTCTCCTCTTCCTCTCCTCTCCTTTCCCTCTCCTTTCCTTTCCCTCTCCTCCTTTCCCTCTCTGCTCTCCCCTCCCCTCTCTCCTCCTTTCCCTCTATGCTCTCCCCTCCCCTCTCTCCTCCTTTCCCTCCCCTGCTCTCCCCTCCCCTTTCTCCTCCTATCCTCCCTCCCCTCTCTCCTTTCTCCTCCTATCCTCCCTCCCTCTCTCCTTTCCCTCCTATCCCTCCCTCCCCTCTCTCCTTTCTCCTCCTATCCCTCCCTCCCCTCTCTCCTTTCTCCTCCTATCCCTCCCTCCCCTCTCTCCTTTCTCCTCCTATCCCTCCCTCCCCCTCTCCTTTCTCTCCTCCTATCCTCCCTCCCCTCTCTCCTTTCTCCTCCTATCCCTCCCTCCCTCTCTCCTTTCTCTCCTATCCTCTCATCCCCTCTCTCCTTTCTCCTCCTATCCTCCCTCCCTCTCTCCTCCTTTCCCTCCTATCCCTCCCTCCCCTCTCTCCTTTCTTCCTCCTATCCCCCCCCTCCCTCTCTCCTTTCTCTCCTCCTATCCCCCCCTCCCTCTCTTCCTTTCTCCTCCTATCCCTCTCCCTCTCTCCTTTCTCCTCCTATCCCTCCCTCCTCTCTCCTTTTTCCTCCTATCCCTCCATCTCTTCTCCTTTCTCCTCCTATCCTCTCCCTCCTCTCTCCTTTTCTCCTCCTATCCCTCCCTCCCCTCTCTCCTTTCTCCCTCTATCCCTCTCCTCCCCTCTCTCTCTTCTCTCTCTCTCCTATCCCTCCCTCCCCTCTCTCTTTTCTCCCTCCTATCCCCTCCCCTCTCTCCTTTCTCCTCTATCCTCCCTCCCCTCTCTCCTTTCTCCTCCTATCCCTCCTCCCTCTCTCCTTTCTCCTCCTATCCCTCCCTCCCTCTCTCCTTTCTCCTCCTATCCCTCCCTCCTCCTCTCCTTTCTCCTCCTATCCCTCCCTCCCCTCTCTCCTTTCTCCTCCTATCCCCCCTCCCCTCTCTCCTTTCCTCCTATCCCTCCCTCCCCTCTCTCCTTTCTCCTCCAATCCATCTGTATCCTCTCTCCTTTCTCCTCCAATCCCTCCGTCTCCTCTCTCTTTTCCTCCTTTCCTCCTCTCCTCTTCCTCTCCTCTCCTCTCCTCTCCTCCTCTCCCTCTCCTCTCCTCTCCACCCCCACCCCCCTCTCCCCTTTGGCCTCACCACACCCTCCCTTCTCTCTCCCTGCTTTTTTCATTTTTTTTCCCATGCTATTTTTTTCTTTTCTTATGCCTACCCTGTACTTCTCCTTTTTACTTGCACACTTATTTAAAATCAATCCCTGTATTTCCATTTTTTTCCAAACTTTTCTATCTTATCCTTATTTCTTTCATCTCCCTCTCCCTCTCCCTCCCTCTCTTTTCCCACTCCCCTCTCCCTCTCTTTTCCCACTCCCCTCTCCCTCTCTTCCCACTCCCCTCTCCCTCTCTTTTCCCACTCCCCTCTCCTCTCTTTTCCCACTCCCCTCTCCCTCTCTTTCCCACTCCCCTCTCCCTCTCTTTTCCCACTCCCCTCTCCCTCTCTTTTCCCACTCCCCTCTCCCTCTCTTTCCCACTCCCCTCTCCCTCTCTTTCCCCACTCCCCTCTCCTCCTTTTTCCCACTCCCCCCCTCTCTCTCTCTTTCCCACTTCCCCTCTTCTCTCTCTCTTTCCCACTCCCCTCTCCTCTCTTTTCCCACTCCCTCTCTCCTCTCTTTTCCACTCCTCTCCCTCTCTTTTCCACTCCCCCTCTCCTCTCTTTCCCTCCCCTCTCCTCTCTTTTCCCACTCCCCTCTCCCTCTCTTTCCCCACTCCCCTCTCCTCTCTTTTCCCACTCCCTCTCCTCTCTTTTCCCACTCCCCTCTCTCTCTCTTTTCCCACTCCCTCTCTCTCTCTCTTTTCCCTTTCCCCCACTCCCCCTCCCCCCTCTCTCTCTCTCTTTTCCCACTCCCCCTCTCTCTTCTTCCCTCCCCCTCTCCTCTCTCTCTCTTCCCACTCCCCCTGTTCCCTTTTCTCTACCTCTTCCACTTCCCCCTTTCTCTTGTCTATCTCTGCTGTCCTTTTCTATTCCATCTTGTCTCCCTTTTCTCCCTCTCCCATCAGCATCACTCCTCCTTTATATTCCAAGCCTTTCCATGTCCCCCCCCCCACCCATGCCCTCTCCCCCTCCTTTTCCCATCTGTGAATGTGATCTTGAATTATTTGAAGTGATTTGCATAATTTAGGTGATTCTTTGTTAAGTATATCAGAAAAAGTTTGCTTTCACATTGCTCATAACATTACGAGTTGTAATGTTTTGGAATACGTTTTTTTATAGATTTTTTTTTTGTCTTTGTTCATTTTCTCTTGCAATTTTCTTATTTTTCTTCCTGACTTCTTATTAGTATTCTTTTCCTTCCCATCCCTCCCTCCCCTCCTCCTCCTCCTCTCCTCCTCCTCCACCTCCCTCTCCTCCTCCTCCTCCTCCACCTCCTCTCCTCCTCCTCCTCCACCCACCCCTCCTCTCCTCCTCTCCTCCTCCACCACCTCTCCCTCCTCCTCCTCCTCCACTCCCTCCTCCTCCTCCTCCTCCACCTCCCTCTCCTCCTCCTCCTCCCCACCTCCTCTCCTCCCTCCTCCTCACTCCTCCTCCTCCTCCTCCTCCTCTCTCTCTCCTCCCCTCCTCCTCTCTCCTCCCTCCTCCTCCTCTCTCTCTCCTCCTCCTCTCCTCCTCCTCCTCCTCCCTCTCTCCCTCCTCGCCCCTCTTCTCTAACCCCCTCCACATGTCATTCTCACTCTGCTTCATGCATATCTTATTTTCGTCTCCATCTTCCAAGTTTTAACTTATTTCTCATTTTCTGTAGGACTCCTTTATTTTTTTACTCCCCCCCCCTCGCACACACACACATACACATACATACACACACATACACACGCTATCTTGCCCTTTCCATGCTGTTATTTGACGTGGTGAATACCGAAGCAGTTATAGGTTTTGGAATGTTACAAGCCTTGGTCACATTTGTGAGTGACTGGATCAGCTCTAGCTCTTTTATATTCTGCAGTGTAATGTTACTATCAGGCCACATGTAGATCATATCAGTATACATTAAAAGTAGTCAGAGGTATTCCTGTGAAATGGTGATGCTCCGAATAGTTGTATTGATGATATAAACAAACATTAGTTTGGAGATGCCGTTCTATGTTCTCAGCATGGAATGTATAACAATTGTCTTTTCTATTCTTCTCCTCTCAGATGATTGAGTAGGAAATGCTTGTTCATTATATCAGGTGAATTTCACGTTGTTATTGTAATTAATTCAGCACCATATCATTTTTATTTTTTATTTATTTTTTCATGACTTGATAAATCAGTTTTTATGCCCATTTATTTTCATCTATCTGATGTCATCCCGGGTTATACTTGTTTAGCATTACATTTCAGTAGATTTGAATTTCGTAATTGTTATATTTTCAGATGAAAAAAATAATTGGGTTTACCCCAGCACTCCTTCAAGTTGTCATGATGGGGGAACTTGACATGCCAGTAAGACAGGCAGGCGTTATATACCTAAAGAACATGGTAGCACAGTACTGGAAAGATGCAGAGTATGAGGCTGGTGAGCCTATTCCATTCCACATTCACGAGCAGGATCGGGCCATGATCCGCGATGCCATTGTCGATGCAGTTGTTCATGCACCAGATCTTGTAAGGTAAGAATCATAAATCTGAACATTTCCCTCTCATGTCAGATATATCCTGACTTCATCATTATACATAAATATTGCATTCTTTCCAACAAATAATTCTTGCTTTTAGATTTTCATAATTTCTGTTTCCATTTCTCTCTACAGAGTACAGCTTGCTGTCTGCACATATCAGATGGTCAAACATGACTTCCAGGTCGCTGGACGACCATTGTCGACAAGATTAGTATTTATCTTCAAAATCCCGACACAAATCTCTGGAATGGCAGTCTCCTCTGCTTATATCAGCTCGTCAAGAATTTTGAGTGAGTTGCAAAATATTAATTTTTGAGTCAATATATTTACCAAAGATGGATTTAAGTTCAAGTGTGTGTTACATATAAGATCAAGAACAGGGAATTGCTGTGCTTTAGAGTTCTAGGCCACATCTATTTTTACAAAG